TACTATGTTTATTCACATGCAATAATAAAAATACATGTATACATGGTCTTGCATTTTTTATTAATTGTATTTTTTCTGTTTGTGGGGGTTAAAGAATCTGTTTAGTGTCGATTGCTTTTCTGTCTTCTTCATGATTTTTCAGAAGTAATTAATAGCATTGTAATTGTAGAGATCTCTAGGCCTATTAACCTCAACCTGGTTTGGATGCCATTTTAAGACCATTGTTCTGACATCCTCCTACTTCTTCAAAAGATCTTTAATAGCAGATATTGGCATAAATCCGCATTTTCAGAAGAAAACGTAAAAGAATTGTTTCTGTCAGAAATATAAAAGGCTGGAATTACGAGAGAGAGCTTCAAAGTTCGGGGGAATACTATCCGATCAGTATATACTGGGTAGAACATCATTGTCGACGTCTCCCGCGCTCCGAAAAGTTTCGAATTGTTGCCTGAGACAAAGGAAGACCAATCGGTATTTGTTATTTATGTCGCTTCTTGTGTTTGTTTAGTGAAGTGTTCGTTGTTCGATTATAAAAATCTTTCGCAAAAGTATTCTTTATCCGATTTGTTTGTTAACTGATCACCCACTGTACTTGTTTTACTATTGTAGCATCAAAAGCATCATCTAATCATATAAGGCAATGTTTCTCAAGTGCACACTTGAAGAATTTTTAATTGTGAAAATTGCAATATGACGAAATTGTTTTATGAAATCATAAGTCATTTTTGATGTAAATAGTTTTTTTTATAGGTAACATTAATTTATAAGTTTGACTTAAGGAAATGTCAATATTCCTGATATAATTTACATAAATCATATTTAAACACAATAATATTTAAGAGTACTTTTGTTTGTATTTATTATCATCTGTATTAAATCAGTTATTTGGAGAATTTTATTTTGATTTTATTATGAGGTTTTAGTTTTATCATCAAAATAAATCAAATAAAATGAAGGGTTGCACATAAACAATTGTACAATATTTGTGTTTTTTTCCCATTGATCTCTGATCCACAATCCAAAATATATTAAAAATTATTTTTTCCATCAAATTTTCTGGTGTAAATGTAAAGAATCCCCAGATCATGGTATATTTTGGATTGGAAATCATTCACCTAAGATCCTGTGTGGCTTCATAATTTATCTACCTAAACCTTTGGTAATATACTGTAATTTTTAAAGCATTCAGTTTATTATCAAAGTTATTTGAAGTTTCTGCTTGTCAGAATTGTTCGTGGCATCATTTTCTCTATAAACTTCTAGTTTGTGAACATTTTTTTCTTTTCCTGGATCTTGATTTTTTTTCTTTTTCTTTTTTTTTTTTTTGAAATTGTTTGATTTATCTGTTTTGTAATTGGCTAATTGCTTGAATTTAATAAAATTACTTATAAAGAATTAAATTTATTATTATGTTTTTGTAAACTAATTAAACAATTTTTATAATGAAACAGGACTAAATTTATTGCAATAAAGAGTATTAATACTTTTTCAAATTTATTTTTATTTATTTGACATTAAACTGTGTTATGGCAACTTAATTTGCATATTTTTTATTTGGGAGTGAAAAACAAAATGTAAACACTTTAATTCATTTGTTACTTATTCCAGCCAGTTGGATCAGACTACTAATTGAAACTGATGAAATAGCCTGCAATATTTGAACCCTTATGAAAAATTCTAGTTTAATTTTATGATGATTTAGTTTGTACTCAAATTTATTGTGTAAGCAAACTCAAAACCTCCACTTAATGCTCTGCTTTGCACTTGTTCATAGAGCCTTATCTCTTCTCTTTTGTGTTTGGTATCTGTCATTCAGCTTTCTGCAATGTTTGCATCACTCTTTTTAAGTTTCATTTCTTTTTAATTTTTAATTCTCATTTCCGTTTGTTTTTAATTTAGTCAATTTCTTATTACTTCAGTTTTTAATTCAGTATATATTTCAATTTAGAGTTTCTCTGTCCTCACTCTTACTGTAAGTGTAGGGTACGACTGTACACTTACAGTAAGAATGTTAGACAAGGGTGTTATGGCAATTCAGGGAGTTGTACAAGTAGGGTAGAGAAGGTTAAGAATACGCATTGCATGTTTCTCAAATTTGGTAACACTAACTGAAGAGTTTCCTCTGCACACATTTTACTATTGATGGCAAAGTGTGTTGGAGCCAACTTTTCTTGGTCTGTGAGTTGCCAGGACATTCATAGCTTAGTAAACATTTTTTGTTTGAAAGTAACTTTGTAAACTCAGGCCACAAGTTTTTCTATTGATAGTTTTGTTGCATGGGCTGTGAAAGAAAAGTGTTTGAAAGGGTAAAGATAGGGGTCGAAGCTTAAGTATGGGGTAGCTTTCATGTTGATGCCTGCCTGAAGTTGCATTCCATCAGTAAGTTTATGGAATTTTGTTTTGGAGGGTAAGAGTACTCATAGTAGTGCTGCACAGTACTCAAGTTAGAGATTCTTTCAGGAACATCTTAAATCAGAAGGAAAAGGAGAAAACTGAAAAATAAAAAAAATATAATAATAGAGTGGGTGCAAAAAAGATTTGGATTTGTGAAAAAGACCAACAAGCTTCCACTTTGCAAGTTGGTAGGCCTAATGATGAAGGTATTTCTGTCCTGCAAATAATCTTTCAGTGATGATTGGGTGCAATGTGGACAGTGGTGGCATGAGCAATGTTCAGCATAGGTTGTTTCATTTATAATTGCTATTAGTGCATACTCTTAAGCGATAAGTGGTGTACTCTTAACTTCTAGCACAAGGTAAGAGAGTATACATTGGAATCCTCTTCTTTTTTTGAAATTTCTTGTAAAAACTATGCTTGTTTTTCTTTTTAACATGGCCAAGCAGAAAGTTGTATAAATGATATATATTCAGACAACATGTATTCTGATGAAACAATAAACTCCTGAGAAATGCAAAAAAATTACATAAGGTGTGTATTCTTTCTCTCCTCTCTCCTATATGTTATGGTGGAGTGTTCATTGTATTTTCCAGCTAACAGTTTTTGGTTTCAAGATTTTAAAATTATACAGTCGACCCCCCCTATAAGATATAGATACGTTCCAATTTATTAGGAATCCGATTTCTTACAAGTCATTCCAATCACACCCGACACGTGTCAAGTTTACGGACTACGGCTGATTGAAAGGTTTTCTTCCATAAAATTAATCGATTCTACACTAATCCGACTCAACATTTCCAAAATACATATATTTTTTCGTAGTTTTATAGGAATCGTAATTATAGGGGGGTCGACTATATTACACATTCAAATTATCAGACATATTACATTCAAAAAATAAACATGACAATACTAATAATAATTGGATAATAGGGAAGATTTGTCTGCTGACCATAATGATTTATTCTGAAAATATTGTGGGATTAGGTAATAAAAAGCAATGAATTTAACTCTATGTAAATTATGCTTACATTAATTATTTAATACAGTAGAGTCCCAGAAACTTGATTCTCAATAACTTGGCATTTCATAAAACTTGTGTTGGATTACATATTTTTATTCAAAAAAATAAAAATATGTAATTCAGTTTTTAGTGACTAGGATCAAATAAATTATTGTTTTTCACTGACACTTGATATCATCATCAGTTCTAAGTGTTAATAAAGAATATAACTCTTTTTCAAGGTGCCTTGGAAAAATGCCACAATGCAAATGTCACCAACTTGAAAGTAGCCAATATTTTTTAAATTAAATTTTAATCACAAATAGAAATATTTACTATTGATATAGTTAACATGTGTATGAATTTTCAAATGTAATGTCTTTATGAAATTTGTTATTTAGACTAGCATTGTTGTTATACCTTAAAACATTATTTTTGGCAACTCATTACTTTGTCAGTCCACGTTAAGTTGAGTTTGTGGGATTCTAGTGTATTTAGAGAATTCATACTATCATCAGATTAGTTAATTTTCTTTATTAATGTTATTTTTCTTAAATGATTTGAAATTTTAAAAATTTCAACTTAAAGCATTTTACCATATCACATTTCAGTATTTATTAGTTTGTATAAAAAAACTATTATTGAGGAATAGTTTAAAGAAAATTATTTAAAAACCAAATAACATTAAAAAAGTTGTACATTACTTAAAGTCTTACAAAAAATTATAGATATTTATTACAGGATGTTGCTTCTGATTATGAAATACATAAATATTTTAAAATTAAAAACTGGTTAGAATTTTATTTATAAATTATTTACTATCTTTCTCTTAAATGATGATAAATCTGAAAAATTTCAGTTTCAAAAGAAAAACGATAAAGGTTATTTAGAAAGAATTTCTGTGCATGTTATTTCCCAGAAACAATACATTTTTATATTAATGATTGGGAACTATGTGATAGTAGTTAGATGTTACACAATCTGTAATAGGTTTTATGCTATTTTCTGTCTTGAGGAATATCACAGTCGATGAGTATCATTATTAGTCATTGGTCAGAATTGGTGTCAAATAGCATTCACCTTACTGGTATTTATATATTTGTGTTGTTAGATAGAAATTATGTAAATTATATTATAGTTTTATAATCAATCAGTGGCAGTTGTCTTTCAATATTAGCATGACAATTTGACTATTGGCAATTTCCAATTTGTTGAAAAAAATTGAAGTTTGATAATAATAATTCAAAAGCAATCATTAGACATTAAATACTAATAGAAATCTGCAAAAGAAACTAAAAAAATTAAAATTAAAAAGACATTTTGTCATCAGACCTTGAAAAATCTGATTTTAGAAATGTGAAATACAGTAATTATATCCAATTAATAAACTCCAAATACCTTTAAAATGCAGTCTATTTTAAAAAACTTATTTAACGTTTTCGGTCAAATTAACAGACCTTCTTCAGGATCGAACTAACGGAATTTAAATTTGCCAAACGGAAATTCCAAAACATACGCTCTACAACCTTCTCAGATTCAATTGCGAATTTGAGAAGATTGCAGAGATAGAGTATTGCAGAAATATGAAGATAATATGATAATGTATGCAAGGTACATCGATGACGTATTCATTATTTGGAATGATAAACCAGACATATGCCAATTTATTAGAGATATAAACAGTAATACTTATGGCCTAGAATTAGAACTAGAGCAGCAAAATCATAAAAGGGTACATTTCTTAGATATAGAAGTTGAAATAGATGAAGAAGGGCAAATCGCTACGAAAGTATATGGAAAGCCGACGTACATTCCAGATTTGATACCATGGTCCTCTCATGACCCAATAAGACACAAACTAGCAGTGTTTAGAGCACTGATTAAAAGAGCATACACTCATTGTAGCAAGGCTCATGACACATGTAAAGAGCTTGAATACATCGCAATGCTAGCAAGAGATGTAGGGCTTAAGCAAAGTAAAGTAAAAGCTTTAATACAAGAAGCAGAAAAAGGAGGCAATAAAACTAAAGATAAAAAAGAAAAAGGAGTTCACCATAATGGAATACAGGGCACCGTTAAGTAACATATACAGAAAAATAGGAATAGAGCAACAAGAAAATAACATATAAGAGAAACACAACAATATTCCAAATGCTAAGAAATGACAAAACACCCGTAGACAGGAGGCTAGTGCCAGGTGTGTACAGAATACCGTTGCATGATAAGAGGCTGAAAAAGGAGCTATATTATGTAGGAACTACAAAGAGATCATTAAATGAAAGATTGAAGGAGCACGAAAAGAATATAAGATTTAAACAGCCAGTCACGGCTTTGGCTAATTATGCGATCGCAGATCCAACAGAGATTGCAATCGAATGGAGCAAGGCCGATATTATACAAAAAGTTGAAAATAGAAGACATCTAAAATATGCAGAGGCCTGGCACATCTATAAGTACAGGGAAAAAGGAAAAAATGTAAATTTTTGAGAATCAAACAAAATAACATCAGCATGGAAAGTGGCGGCGTTACAGTTATAAAGAACAAATGGACCTGCGCAATCGAATCTGAGAAGATTGTAGAGTGTACATCTTGGAATTTCCATTTGGCAAATTTAAATTCTGTTAGTTCGATCCTGAAGAAGGTCTGTTAATTTGACCGAAAACATTAGATAAGTTTTTTAAATAGACTGCATTTTAAAGGTATTTGGAGTTTATAAATTGGATATAGTAATGCAGGTAAAGATTTAATGATTTACAGTAATTATAATGGACCAAAAAATAAACATTTTAAATAATAATTAAAACCAATTAAATGAATACAAGATGCTGTTTAACAAATGAAATTAACAACATTTTAATAATTATTTGTTTCCTTTAAATTGAAAAATTCAGTATTTAATAGGAATTATTAGTTCAAACGATTAGAACATAATCATTATTTGTCATTGATTGTGAAATACAAAATGTGCATTACATAATTTATATATATTGAAAAGAGAATTAATGAAAAACATATAATTATGCATTATTAGTAAACCTATTAGAAATAATTNGTTTAACGTAATTATAGGGGTTTTTTTTACTGTTTTTTACGGATACCGTCACAATTTTTCTGCAGTTTTATAGGAATCGTAATTATTGGGACCGTAATTATAGGAGGGGCCGACTGTAATCATTTTTTTAATTAAAATTTTAATATAATGGTATTCTGCTCTTTAATTAATTTGATGGCTTCTCTGATCTTATTATTTTTATGGGTTTTAAAAGTAAGCATGATTAATATTTTACTTTAAATTGCAATTTATAAGTGAATTTATTAAATATGAAAAATTTGATACTGTATACAGTATTTCTATCAATCACGTATCAAATATGACCTGTCAGTTCTTCCCTCAGCATATTGACTGAACAGTTTTTCCCTGGATATGATAACTGAGACTGGTAGTTCATCCCCAGACATGGTAACTAACCAATTATTCACCAAGAAGTTGATTCTCAGACAATGTTTTCCCAGACAGTTTTTCCTCTCGAAAATTTATTCAAGGTTTTCTTCCAATGATTCTTCTCTCCAAAAGCTTTATTTCAGATTATATTCCTAAATAATATTTTGCAATGTTATTTGTTTAAAGACAGATAATGTATGATTCTTCAACAATAAATTGTTCAGTATTTTCTTTATATATAACTATTGTATTCCATTTTTGAAGTATGTAGATCATACCAAAAACAGTGATCAACCAAAAAAACTTTTGTGAGATTTGTCAATCACAATTGATTTGCTAGGACCATTTAGAGGAAAGTATTTTGTTTAATGTAATTGTATTTTATTCAAGGTAAAAATATCACAGTCAAAATGTTTAAAAATGGAGTGTAAAGTAAGAGAAAGATGCATGATGTTATTTTTCAACTTTATAAAACCTATGTTTAATTCCTAGTTAAAGTATAAAAGCAAATTTTTGCAATCTAGTACTAACATGATAGAAACAAATAATATAGAACTTAAATGAAATTTGTAATAATGGAGGCAAATTTATAGAGATGATTATATCTATGAACTGACAAAGACTTCTTCAATGTCTGTAAAATATGATTAATGGGCTAAATCTTTCCCCACTTAATTATCATGCATAGGTTGTAATTAAAGACAGTATAAATACTTTTATAAGTGTATAAATGTAAGTACCTCATATTAATTACTTGATTAAAAACAAATCATAACTAACAATCTTTTCTGGTGTTTATTAATAATTTTATCTAAATACAATGTGGAAGAAACATAAACATCATTTCTGTAGAAAACAGTTTATATTGTAACTTGAATATATAAAACAATTTGCAATTTTTACATAGCATTGTACACATTTAGGTGTTATGCAATTAAAGAGATCTAATAATTTTATATTTAAAAGCTTAACATTTTTAAATAAGTATCATATGTTTAAGTTAAAAAGGCCCTTTCTCCATGAAATGTATTTGCATTAATTCAAAGTTGTTTGCAGGGAGAATTATGCAAACATAACTAACTACTCAATAGAATAGAATTAATTAACCAAAACAACATTGCAGAAATTACCCTTTAAAAATATGAGGCAAAATTGTGTGGGAAAGAACTGTTTGGACTGCATTACTTGAAAGGAATTGTCTGGGAAAGAATTTACAGGGAACTGTATATCATATCCACATTTCAATTGAAATCTGCTGTAAGTTTAAGATTAACTTAAAAGATGAGTATGTCTAAACCATAATTTTGAGCTAAAAATCTTAAGATTGATTTGATTTATATACTGAAATTTACAATAAATGATTAAAATGATTTTCTAATTGTAGTAAAAGATTTTTCATTATGTAAAAAAAATAAGAATCAGAAACAGATATAACAGATTAGCCTAGCTGTTTTTGGACTTTTTTACATTGCTTTTTTGTATAATAGCAGTTATACTGCTATTTTTCTTAGAATCAAGTTCGTATATAAATTCATATTTTTAAGATTTATTTTATTATAAGAGCTTACTTGTAATAAAATGTATTTTAAAATAAAAGTCCTGTGTAGTAGAATATAAATGTCAAATGTAAAATATCTGAAATAATCTATTATTATTTCAAATATTTTACATTGATTATTTTAGATATTGAATTTTTTTAAAAACAATTATGAATATTTTATTGAAATTACAAAATAGTTCACAAAGAATTTTGATCTTTATTTCTAGATATCTACTTAGTATGACATAAAATTAAATTAATATATTTTTTATCTCTTTAAAGGTGCATAAAGAAACTTTAGATAAAGTTCCTAATGCATTACCAAATAGGAATAATATAGATATTGAAATCTATGGTATGGAAGGCATTCCAGAAGAAGACATTAAAGAACATGAAAGACTAAAAGCAGGAGGAGGTAAAAAAACCTTATAAAATTAGTAGTAATTTGTTACATTTAAGTTTTGAATTGCAAACCATATTCTATGGCTAGTGAAATAACAATAATTCTATAAGCTCAAATATGAACAGATGGTAAGATAGACAAAAGATTTTAAAATATTAAAAAATATCTATATATTCAGAAATATCTATATATTCAAAGTCATTTAATTCACACACTTCTTATTGATAAAATTTAATTAAAATTTTAATATAATGGTATTCTGCTCTTTAATTAATTTGATGGCTTCTCTGATCTTATTATTTTTATGGGTTTTAAAAGTAAGCATGATTAATATTTTACTTTAAATTGCAATTTATAAGTGAATTTATTAAATATGAAAAATTTGATACTGTATACAGTATTTCTATCAATCACGTATCAAATATGACCTGTCAGTTCTTCCCTCAGCATATTGACTGAACAGTTTTTCCCTGGATATGATAACTGAGACTGGTAGTTCATCCCCAGACATGGTAACTAACCAATTATTCACCAAGAAGTTGATTCTCAGACAATGTTTTCCCAGACAGTTTTTCCTCTCGAAAATTTATTCAAGGTTTTCTTCCAATGATTCTTCTCTCCAAAAGCTTTATTTCAGATTATATTCCTAAATAATATTTTGCAATGTTATTTGTTTAAAGACAGATAATGTATGATTCTTCAACAATAAATTGTTCAGTATTTTCTTTATATATAACTATTGTATTCCATTTTTGAAGTATGTAGATCATACCAAAAACAGTGATCAACCAAAAAAACTTTTGTGAGATTTGTCAATCACAATTGATTTGCTAGGACCATTTAGAGGAAAGTATTTTGTTTAATGTAATTGTATTTTATTCAAGGTAAAAATATCACAGTCAAAATGTTTAAAAATGGAGTGTAAAGTAAGAGAAAGATGCATGATGTTATTTTTCAACTTTATAAAACCTATGTTTAATTCCTAGTTAAAGTATAAAAGCAAATTTTTGCAATCTAGTACTAACATGATAGAAACAAATAATATAGAACTTAAATGAAATTTGTAATAATGGAGGCAAATTTATAGAGATGATTATATCTATGAACTGACAAAGACTTCTTCAATGTCTGTAAAATATGATTAATGGGCTAAATCTTTCCCCACTTAATTATCATGCATAGGTTGTAATTAAAGACAGTATAAATACTTTTATAAGTGTATAAATGTAAGTACCTCATATTAATTACTTGATTAAAAACAAATCATAACTAACAATCTTTTCTGGTGTTTATTAATAATTTTATCTAAATACAATGTGGAAGAAACATAAACATCATTTCTGTAGAAAACAGTTTATATTGTAACTTGAATATATAAAACAATTTGCAATTTTTACATAGCATTGTACACATTTAGGTGTTATGCAATTAAAGAGATCTAATAATTTTATATTTAAAAGCTTAACATTTTTAAATAAGTATCATATGTTTAAGTTAAAAAGGCCCTTTCTCCATGAAATGTATTTGCATTAATTCAAAGTTGTTTGCAGGGAGAATTATGCAAACATAACTAACTACTCAATAGAATAGAATTAATTAACCAAAACAACATTGCAGAAATTACCCTTTAAAAATATGAGGCAAAATTGTGTGGGAAAGAACTGTTTGGACTGCATTACTTGAAAGGAATTGTCTGGGAAAGAATTTACAGGGAACTGTATATCATATCCACATTTCAATTGAAATCTGCTGTAAGTTTAAGATTAACTTAAAAGATGAGTATGTCTAAACCATAATTTTGAGCTAAAAATCTTAAGATTGATTTGATTTATATACTGAAATTTACAATAAATGATTAAAATGATTTTCTAATTGTAGTAAAAGATTTTTCATTATGTAAAAAAAATAAGAATCAGAAACAGATATAACAGATTAGCCTAGCTGTTTTTGGACTTTTTTACATTGCTTTTTTGTATAATAGCAGTTATACTGCTATTTTTCTTAGAATCAAGTTCGTATATAAATTCATATTTTTAAGATTTATTTTATTATAAGAGCTTACTTGTAATAAAATGTATTTTAAAATAAAAGTCCTGTGTAGTAGAATATAAATGTCAAATGTAAAATATCTGAAATAATCTATTATTATTTCAAATATTTTACATTGATTATTTTAGATATTGAATTTTTTTAAAAACAATTATGAATATTTTATTGAAATTACAAAATAGTTCACAAAGAATTTTGATCTTTATTTCTAGATATCTACTTAGTATGACATAAAATTAAATTAATATATTTTTTATCTCTTTAAAGGTGCATAAAGAAACTTTAGATAAAGTTCCTAATGCATTACCAAATAGGAATAATATAGATATTGAAATCTATGGTATGGAAGGCATTCCAGAAGAAGACATTAAAGAACATGAAAGACTAAAAGCAGGAGGAGGTAAAAAAACCTTATAAAATTAGTAGTAATTTGTTACATTTAAGTTTTGAATTGCAAACCATATTCTATGGCTAGTGAAATAACAATAATTCTATAAGCTCAAATATGAACAGATGGTAAGATAGACAAAAGATTTTAAAATATTAAAAAATATCTATATATTCAGAAATATCTATATATTCAAAGTCATTTAATTCACACACTTCTTATTGATAAAATTTGGAAAAATGGGATCTTAAATTAAACATCTTCACCTCTATTCAGAAAATATTATAATATTCAGAAAATTATAAAAATTTGAATTTATTTCAAATTAATTGAATTATTAACAATTACAGCTATTTTTGATCAGTCATATGGTCTATTATTAGAATCTTTTGTGTTGTACAATAATTTTTATCTAAAATTAATCAGCCTAATGTGTATATTTCATTAAAAATTTTTTAAAAAATATTCAAATACATTTTAAATGTTTACATTTTGTCACATGACTATTTGTGTTATCACTTGTTTCATTTTGATGATGATATTCATAAGATATTAAAACTGCTAAATTTATTACATGTTTTATTTTATTAACTAAAAATGTTTTATATTCAATTTTGTTGGTGCACATGGTATACATTGTGGCAACATGGCAATCTACATGGTTCAGTCTGTGTTAAATATTTGTTTTAAATTCAAGGTATAGGTTCAAGGTTAGTAAGTTATTACTTTCTTTGCTTTCAACAAATGATTATCATGTCTGGTAGATGTCCAAAAAGATTTTGTTGTCATCTTTCTTTTACATTAAGTTGTACTTTGAACAAGCCATAACAAAACTAATCAGGATAACTTCTTTAAAATTGTATTGAGTTCAACCAATAATAAATAATATAATACAATATTTGTAGTAAATGTATAATTTTTTTTTTAAGTTTTAGGTTTTATGACATACATTAAATTTTTCTTCAATAAAATATTGTACTTAGTAGTTATTTGATTTAGTTTCACATTACCAAACATCATATAATCTGTCATTCTTGATGTGCAGATTTACTGGTATATGTATTTTTTTTTTTTTGTTCTCTATTAATTAATTCATTTGTAAACTAAAGATAGCCAAAATAATAGTTGAACTGTTTCTAATTAAAGAAATATCTTTTTGGCTTTCTTAACTAACAGTGTGTTCTATTTTGATCTTCAGTAAAGCTTTGTCCATATTTATAATAATAACAAATTGTAAAGTCTGCTAAAATTTTTATTAAAATTTTAGTTAATTAAAATTAAAAATTAAAATTTTTCACAAATGCATTTATAATTTGTATAATTATGATACAAGAAATTATCACAAAATTTCATTATTAACGATAATTCTATAATAAAACATACAATTAAAATATAAGAAAAATGTTTATAATCATAATTTAAAACGTTTTTTTTACATGAAGGCTATTTTTTTGCTATAGAAAAAACTATTCTTCAGTTTTATAAAAGGACCTTACTAAAAGATTATCTTATCATTGCAAGAAATAGCTAACCAGAGAAGAAGAAAAATAATTGTATCTAAAAATGATAATGATATTAAAGAAGTAATAACAAAAAAGTAGATTAACTAGTTTAAAAAATATAATTAAATATATGTAACTTAATTTTAACATACACTTAAAATTTTTAGATTACTATTTGTGAGAAAGGCATATTGTTTACTTATTTAAGTAAAGTATATAAATTACAAAAAACTGCCTGCCATGGGCAGCCAATTAACATATTAAAATTTAAAATTAAGAAGTTAATCAGAAATAATAAATTACATCAATAATATTTTCAGAATAAAATGTACTATAGCTACTATAGATTAAAGTGTCAAATGCTACAGTGATAATCAGATAAAGTTTAATTGTTGCTGAAAAAATTATTGCTGAATAATTAATTATTAATCAGATTTGATCTAGTTATATTAATTTAGCAAAGAATTAAAAATTTAATGTTTAAAACTTATCTGTTAAAATATTTAAAATTTAGTAGATCAAACTATGACATTTAATTTCAATAATAGAGATAAAGAACAATTAAATAAAAACTCGTTAATGAATATTTCTAATTATATTATCAGTTACTAGTAATCATTTTTTTTTCCTTCTGTATAACTATTAGTGGTTTAAAATATTTTGTAGAATTTTTTTCAATTTTATCAAACTGTTAATTCTTGAGAAATAGAGATGTTCTTCTACAAATTTAAAAGTATTGATAAATTTTCTATCTTTTCTAGCTATAATCTTTCATTTAACATTTAACAGAACATGCTCAGAAAATAATTATAAGATTATCAAAACACCTTATGTTGCCAAGATAATTTGTTAAAAACTAATGTTTTTGGCCTATGGAATAAGCTGAAAACGTTAGTTTTTAATAAATTATCTCAGCAACATAAAGTGTGTTTTGATAAACTTATAATCTTTTGTTTGCATTTTAAGCCTAATCAAACCAGTTTCAAATTACTAAAGATAAGTATAGCTCTATTCAGTTGTATTTTATTATTTTACTAGCTGTACCCAGCCACGTGTTGCTGTGGCTCAAAATGTATCTATTATAAATGTATAACACTCCCCACGGAAGAGAATTTTGAAAAATCCCTTCTAAGTGTACATTCTCATGACGTACTCTATTAAAACACAATCAAAAACGCAAAAAAACTGCATATAAAATAGTATAATTGAAGCCAAGTTCTTCATGGTAAGCCTTAATCCTGTCCCTCTTCCCCACAGGGGGAATTTCGACATCTATATAATATAAAAACATGCACGTATTTGAATGGAATGCTGTGTCAAAATTTCAAAGCAATCGGTTAAGAACTTTCGGAGATTTAAGATTTTGAACAAATGAACATTTATATTTTTATTTATATAGATGATGATTTTTAATGCAGATTTCAATTTTACATTTCAGCTCAAGATAGTGATAGAGATGATCCTAAATCTGATGATAATAGTAATCCAGGTCCTATAACTTCAGTTTCATCTGCCATGCCACCAGTAACTGTTGCTCCAGGAATGATGGGTCCAATGCCTGGAATGATGGGACCTGTGCATGGAATACCATTTGGTCCTGGAATGCATGGACCACCAATGGGGCCTATGCCACCAATGGGAATGGGACCTATGGGGCCAATGCCCCCAATGGGTAAGTTCATTTATTAAAATATATTTAAGTATTGTTTGATATTAATAAACAGTCATATTTTTAAGATTATAAATCAAATTGTTTTGTTCAACTTTACCTAAAAGTTGAAGATATTTACATCAAAGTGTTTTTAATAATTAATTTATGGATGATAATTTTAAAAATCATTGAATCTTTATGATAGAAATAATTTTTAAGAATATACATTATAAGTTATGAAATAACTGTTTTGTATAAAATATTAAAAAATTTTTTTAATAATTAGAATAGGATACATAGTAAAATTTATATCTTTGATTATATAATTTTATTATAGATTAATTTTTAGGAGTAGAAACCTTATATTATGAAAGATCACAAATTGCCTATACTATCTAGCTATTTATTAGTCAGTCCCTTTATCAGATTTTTTCAGTGGAAAAAATTTCATAAAATTTAAGAGATTTTCTGGTCAGATCAGTGAAATCAAGCTAGGCAAATTTTTTAGTCAATGTATTTAATAACTGAACTTGTACTTGAAAAACTACATATTATCTTGCATAATTTCTTGTTAACTTTGATAAAGAAAATATTTTGAAATACAGTTGAATCTGCTTAATATAATCACTTTGGGATATGCGTAGACTGATATCAATAACTGACTGATAACATTAAGTGAGATAAGTAAATAAGACTGTAGTAGTGACAGTTCTGGTTGTTTTTTTTAACTTTGACATTAAGATGAAGTGTTTGAAACAATTAAAAATTGTATAACTTGAAGATTTATTAATTATAATTATTTTTACTTTTTAATATGTAATTCATCCAGTATAGTCTGCATGGTAACAACAGCTAGTGAATAATTGAAATAAGAAATGTCAGTAATTTAAACTGTGCTGCAAGCAAAAATGATTAATATTTAATGTTTAAAACACTAGTTAAGACTAATAATGAATCCTATCATCAGCTATACAATAAAGTAAATAACACAAAAAGAGAGCTTAAGAATGAATAGACTAGCAGTAACCAAATTGATTACAACAAGCAAAGTTTTATTAAATGATAAGATTGGATTTAACTAGTTTAGGCCAGAACCTGAATAATTAATTATTATGTAATTTGGACTAAAGATAAGCAGTTATATTGTGATCTTGTGTTATATTTAATATTATTAATTTTTGAATTGAATTAATTAATAGTTAATCTGACATCATTTGATCATTAAAGTAATTTGGGCTTGATTGTTTATATATGAAATTTTATAAATGCATTTTAATCTTTTGGGATATGCTGATGTTGATAACATTAGATAAAATGATAATACCATGATTATAATAAGCAATCTGTCATAATTGTAGCCTGCAGTTACTGACTGCTATTATATTGTTTTCTAGTTCATAATTTCTCTAATTTGAAAAACAAAAATTTACATAGTTATATAATAAATACAATAAACCAGATTAATTACTTCAAATATCAAATGAACAGTCAGATTTCTTTATTGAGCCTGAATTAATTATTTTCAATAGCTTGATAAAGGAATTTGGCTGTGCATTTGATATTTAAATAATTATATTTCCTATCATGTGCTAAATAGGTTTACCAGCTAGTTAAACAATAAATTTGAACATAAAGAGAATATAAATATAATAGTCTCTCTAAAGTTTTTATTGATTTCTTTGTCAGATGGTTGTTGTTATGATAAATTCTACTTATCTATATATATATATAAAAATGGACATGTATGTCCCTATATCTCACTTTTTTGCCAAAACTACACATCGCACGTGAATGGTGTTTGTATGTGGTGGTAGCCCCAAGTCTCCATTCGTGCATAGGGGTGGTTGCGTCTCGATAGCTATAAGGGTGCGGGAGATATGAGGCTAAAAGTGGTTGAAAGTGGCTTTCTATTTCGAATGTTTTGTTCGATTTTTTCGAATTTGTTCGAATTGGTTCGATTATAGAATGATTGAAAACGTTCCAGAAACGTTGAAATTTGTTCGTTTGACCTAAATGTAAAAATTCTCTAATTAGTCTGAAAACAGGGGACCTAATTCTTGCATTCTGTGAAAACGGGTAAGATTAGCTATAACGTAATTATCTTAATCTTCACTATCGTTACTTTTTGCCCAGCGAAGCGGGTCCTTGCAGCTAGATTCTAGATTACTTAGAAAAACAGTCTTTTATATATATAAAAAAACTATATTACATACAAATAAAAACCCAGCGAAGCGGGATCTTGCAGCTAGTTTATTAATATTTTTAAAAACATTAAAAGTATAAAAGTCAAAAAATTAAATTATTAGTAACCAATAATAAATAAAATGAAAAAAATATTTTAAAAATGTATAAAGTTTGTTATAATTTATAACTCTGAATTTAAGAATCTTATTTGATAAAATAATTATATAATAAATGTGATAGTACTTAATAATTGCATAATTAACAACAATTGACAAATTGAATAGTAATGAAAAAGTAGTTTGTTAGATTTCTGATGGAAAGTATTTAACAATGTATTCAATTCAGCTTAAATTTTGGATATAATCAGAAAATTTTAACATCTCACTAATATAGTAAGACACCAACCGAATGCCGTAAATTAATCGGGCTATTTTAATGCTAAATTCTAAATAAATTACGTAATTAATTTGGCACTAGAGGAATTACGTAATTTATTTAGAATTTAGCATTAAAATAGCCCGATTAATTTACGGCATTCGGTTGGTGTCTTACTATATTGGTATCGGGTTTGGAGATGTTTATTTACATCTCACTAATTTGAATGACTTGCAATAAATTGCACTTTTTGGAAAACAAAAATTTTAATATGTAAATTATTTCATCAATATAGCTTAAATTTAAAACTTATCAAGAAAAATTAAGAATTGTGCAATAAAAAAAATTTTTTGTTTTGAATTAAAATGAAAAAAATACAATCTAATCTAAGAAGGATATTGTATATACAAGAAAAGTTTTTAAAGAAATATATTTTCTTTACATTTTTAAGAGTATTTAAAATACAGGAGCTCCCCTACTTACAAACTTTTAGACATATGAAGAATATGACCATATGAATTCTGAACTTCTCTTGTTGGTTATGGGGTGGTGTCAAAGTCAGTCTTTGGCCAGTAATAAATAATAAATTTTTAATAAATAAATAATGTGGATTCATTTCTATTGTGTATGGTCATTTTTCATTTCTGTGCAAATTCTGATGTTCCATCACCACTTGTAATTTTGGAGTAACAATGTTTTTGGCTATTGTTTGGAATTTTTGTAAACTTTTATGATTAATGCTTCAAGAATGCATCCAGAATATAACAGTAAATCTAGCAAGGCAGATAAGTGCAATAAATAACACTCTGTTATAATAGAAATTAAACTTCATTATTAAACTAAATGTATTACATGAAAAAATCCACATTTGAAACACCTGCTACTAAGCAGTAGCGAGCAGGTAAATGAATGTAATATATTCTATTAAGTACATTGAAGGATCAAAACACTAACAATACATGGTTATTCTGTGTACAAATGTACTTTTTAGATTAGTTTTTGACTTATAGCAAAACTTCAGGAACTGTTTGTAAGTAGGGGAGCACAGGTAAACTGAAATTTAAAAAAGTTCAAGTATTTAACTTGTACTGTCAAAAATTTGTTGTGGTTATACTGTAGTATTAATTAATATCTACACTGCAGTGAAAGCTGACAATTAAATGGTACAAATAAGATGATAAAAATTTATTCAAATGAATAAATTTTTAAAATCAAGATATGGTTTTGATTTCTGTAGTGAAGTACTGTATTTTAGAGCACTGCAGCCAACTGCGTTGTAACATCTGAATTTTAAATGGAATTCCAGTAATTTGTGTATAATGTTTGAGATTTTTGCTTGATGATGGTCATTTAACATTATTTGAAAATGGCTGCATTCTACATATACTGCTGGAACTTAAAGGTTGTGTTGTATATTATATTTCAGGTTTAGTTGTATTTTACTTGAAATGATTTACCAAAGTTTACTAGTTTTTTAGCATTATCTGTTTCTCAGTAGTTAAATTCAAACTGCAGTTTTGTTATTTTGAATTAAAGTTTTTCTAAAAATATTCTATATTAATTCAAATTTGCTACAATTATATAGTACATTATAATTTTGTACATTAAAATATCAAATATTAGCAAAATATATCTTGCCATGACTGCGAAATGCAATAATTCTATAAATCCTTCAAATTAGAGATTTTTAGCACTGAAAATTAGGATTGAAATTATTATTAAATTTTTAATATTGTTGTATAAAAAATGATGTTATGTGATGATGGTGGTATAAAATGTTCCTGTTTACACGGTTTAGAAGAACACAGTACACACTTCCTTTCTAACAATAACAACACAATTACACTTTAATGTCTCCAAATCAGCGAGCGACTCTCTGGCACTCCACAATCGAGCAACACTCCGGTACCCAACAATTATTTGATAATTACAATACTGGTTCCTGACCAGCCACACAGCTACCCACTCTGGTTAGCTCCCCAGTCAGTACTGCAGCTAGCACTCCTCTCAGTTCTGTCTCCACACAACACTGACTCCACACCCCCAAAGGGAAGCACACAAATTTTCCATCTCTAGGCAGGACCATCTCCCCTGCATTCTTAGGGATACTATTACCTCACCCACCTGACATGTGTGACAAAGCTGTGGACTATCCATCAACACTTGCTGACATCCACACACCTGACACATGTTACAATTGAACTTAACAAATATATTCCTTGAAAATGATAATTCAGCCATAAACTATGTTTTGTAATATACAAATTAGTTGAAATAAATGTTCATTTGAATTGATATTAGAACTAAAATGATTAAAGGAAAAAATAAAAATACTAATTTTTCTATCGTAAGTTTTTTTGAGTCACCTCAAATAATGCATATTATCTTAAAATGCATACACAAATAGGCACCTAATTGATGTATTTGATTCACTCAAAAAGAAACTGGAGTTACTAATTAAAGATAAAGCATTTGCACCAGAAACAATTTGACAAGTATGTAGGAATGCTGGCTATTAATATTTTGCATATATTTGCAACACCACTACTGCACAGCAGCATGGGAAAAAAACTACTCCAGAAAATGGCATTTACCAATGCAAGCTCATCCAAGAGGGGAGAGCATTTAGTCATTGAATTTCTGATGTTAGAGCAAGTTAAACTGAGTGAAATTCATCAGCTGTTTATAACAAGAATGTGTTGTCAAAATGCAAATATATATTTTTACCTTGATTCAACAGATGACTATGGATTACAGATAAAATTTTCCAGTGTTTTTTATTCTCCAAAACATCTTTTGAACAATTACGAATTCACAACTCAATTAATAAAGTATTGCTACATTATGTGTTAACATTATAGCATTGCATTGTTAAAATATTTACTAACCTTAAATCGATAGGTTTTACATTTTGCAAAATATATTTTTTATTCTCCAAAACATCTTTCCAACAATTACGAATTCACAACTCAATTAATAAAGTATTGCTACATTATGTGTTAACATTATAGCATTGCATTGTTAAAATTTATTATTTCTAGCATGAAGTGATTAAAATGTAAATTGTATGTAATTTTAAAAAAATATACGTGTATAAAATTANATGGATTACAGATAAAATTTTCCAGTGTTTTTTATTCTCCAAAACATCTTTTGAACAGACTATATAATAAATTACATATTTTCCATAAATATTATTTTAAAATATTACTCATCTTCACTGCCATCATTTTATAGGGTTTGTGTGTGTACTTAAGTAAGTTTTTAATCTTGTTTTTTAGATAGTATCCTCGACTTTCCGCGTAAAAATTTACTAAATTGACTGACATTTTTCCTTTGCATAATGGAAGACAGGCATTAAGACATTGAGAGAATTTGAAGAAGGAAAGAATAACAGAAAAAGAATGAATAAATCATATGAGTCATATGCTGGGAAAATTGGCAAATATTCTACTTGGAAACTCTATATGGTGCTAGATATGTAATATTGCTTGTCTAACTTCAAATAGTTCCATGTGTCACACCAAATAAGATCTATAGTTTTTTATTAAATTTAACAGATTAATCTGTTAAATTTAAGACTGTTAATTTAAGACTAATTAATCTGTTAAATGTTTGAGACTGTAATGTCAAATTGTATTGATCAGTTTTATATTTTAAAAATAGTCCTTTAATTTCAGTAGTACTTTGGCTTTTTCTGATTTCTATTCTTATCAAACATTCTTTACAGAACAAAACTGTAAGTTGATTATTTATTATAAAAACACAAAGTATTGTGAAATAAATAGCAATTTTTTAACTTTTACTTACGTGGACAGTCTCTACGTCAAAAAAAGATTGCTAAATCTAAACATGGCTTCTTTAAGTTCATTTTTATTAGTTGATACTCTTTCATCAACCAGCATTTTTAACTTTACCTGTAAATTTTCAATAGAATTTAAATATGGGTTATTTTCAGACTTTTAGACTTTAAAAGATCTTTATTTTGTTTGGCTTGTTAGCATGTGGCATTATCATCTTGAAAAACATCAGTATTACCAAAGTGATCTTTGATTGTTGGAATCAGAAACAATTCTAAAATTCCTTCATACACTTCTGCTATTACGGTCTCATTAAGAATACATATATTTCCAGGTCCAATAACTGACATGTAGCCCCAAATCATTAAACTTATTGGAAATTTAGTGTTTGTACTCTGGCAATCTTAAATTTCTTTTCTGAACATCTCCAAACAAATTTTTCTGCATCCTCACTACATCTAATTCATATATGACTCTCATCTGAAAAAATTGCCGTTTTCTTGTCTTACAGTCTAATTTTTGTGCTGTCTTGACCATTTTAAATAATTTTTTTTTGTCAGAAAGGTGTTTCTTTTGGCTTTGCAAATAAAAATCCTGTGTCATTCAATCTATTTCTTATTGTTCTTCACAGACATTGATACAGGTATACCTCGACTTACTTCATTTCGAGTTACATCGTTCTCGATTATACGTTGTTTGTCAAAGAATATATGGAAAAATAAAAATCAAGTTTAAGTCATTTTATTCAACTTTACGTCTGTCCACCACAAATATTGAAGTCCTAATATCACTATAAAAGCGTTAAAGCACATAAAATCATATTAAAATACATACATTTACAGTAAATGTTAATATAATTATCATAAATCTTAGAGAACGAAACGTGAAAACATTGTGTTTCTGTGTTGTCGTCTTATTTAGCAGTCTAAGTGCTCAATATTGGTGTTTTCCACAGTAGCTCCAACATTACCGTTTGGTGTCCTTGTCAGCGCCACTCGATATTGGTAAATTTAATATAAATTAATTTATTTTTTACTGTCGCAAAATAATTTTAATAACTGTATTTATTATTTAACCTTACAAAATCGTCTTATTTTATAATGTCTTAAAGCAAACCACATTCACAAATAAAGAGTCCGCGATGTACTGTAAACATCACCAAATTGTAAACATGTACAGTACATTTACAAGTACTATATGTACTGTACATTCATGAATTCATAAAATTTAATTATTTTTTTCTGTAATTTAAAAGCTAAAATTTATTTGTTTGTAAGCTTAAAATAGATTCTTATTAACCAAATATTATTAAAAATGCATTTATAAATAAAATACAAAATTGGGAATGGTTATTTGTTGTTTAGCCTAGTGACAAGTAAATTCGACTTACATTGTTTTTCGACTTAAGTTGCCTCTTCTGGAACCAATTACCAACGTGAGGTGAGGTATACCTGTATTATTTTTCTTCCATTTTATATTTAATTGTTTGGAAGACATTTTTTTCAATAGGTGATCTTGAGCCAACCTGGTTTTTAGGACACTTCTTCTCATATCAATTTTTTATGTCTCCTGTGTCTTTAAACTTTTTTCAAGTGTAATTTACAGTTTCTAATGATGTACCACACACATTGCAACTTTTGTTTTGTTTTTCCCATCTTACAGAAGATTATTAATTTGTTTTCTCACATCATTAATAGATTCTTTGGGACCATCATTTAAATAAAGACAATAAAATATCACTGTTTTCTTAGAAAATAATGAAAACACACCTCTTAAAGCTAATGATTTCTTTCATTCAAATTAGAATGCTCATAATCTATAAATTTAGAACAGTGTTCAAATACTCTATTTAAAATTTATTTTGTATTACTAGTACAATCTATATATTAACAGGACTTATTATACTGGAATTATGGATGCAGATATTTAGTCTTACAGTTCAAAAATAATGTTCTTTATTTAGTTCACAGGTGAACTAAATAAACTAACTAAATAAACTAAATTTATTTTCTTGTAAAATGAGCTCAAACTAAATCCTTTAATTTTCTTACATCAAGTTCAAGTACTTTTTGCTTGGAGCTGTATGTTACTCAGCAGTGATACTTGTTGGTCTGTTGTCATAACTTAAAAAGTCTGATGAATTGTTTTTTTCACATAAAAAATGTAAAACTGTAAAGTTGAGAGAATTTTTTTCTTTTCCATTTTATAATATTTCTTTGTATATCATACAGAACATCTATCCAAATAAGAATGACAAATATGAAATTTTTAAAATTTACTATTTAATAATTTATTAAAATTATCATTTTTGAAATTGAATACAATAAATTATAAATTAAATAAATATAAAATATTTTCTTCGTCTTGTTAAGATGATTTTGTAATAATTTTATTGATAATGTATTTGATTTTTAAGTGTTAATCTGTTTTAATCATATTGATATTAATATTAGATTTTCAATTTTACATTGTGTTGTTTTATAATGATAATTAATATTTAAAATAAAATGTAAAAATATGTAAAAATGGAGAATAGAATAAATTTTTTATTTTCACTATTAAAGACAACCAGAGCTCAGCCATGAACAAAGGTGGGATATTTTATATTAGCCATCCTTTATTTATTTGCTTTTTTATTTTTTTCATTTTTATATTTAAAATCCAAATTATCTTTTCGGAATGCTATTTTGAAATCAAATTTTCAGACTTTATCTGCATGAAATGAATACAAAAATACCAAAATAAAAAATTCACTGCTCTGGTATTAAACAAATTAATATTTTTAAAAGTTGCATGTTATTTTTGTTGTTATATTTAAATAAGTAATGCATTTTTAAAACTTCCTTTTTCTTGGTTTATAGGAATGGCACCACATTTTATGGGTCCTGGGTAAGTTTAATTACTTTATTTATAAACATATCATTTGAAATGTTAAATAATAAGTTTACCTAATTTTTAAACTGTTTTATTAATCTCTAAGCCACATTACCCATTGTAGTGGACATACAGTACAAGTTGTCACATTACATCATTTCACATTGCAATTTATTGTATCAAGGCATGAAACATTGCACAATGCCAGTGCATATGGTTTTCATATAAAGAATTTTAATCAAACTGTTAATTATATTCATAGTAATGAAAATTTTATTAATTTAATTCAAGGTACAAATTTACAGATGATAAAACAACTTTTTAAATGAAATAAAAACCAGTAAAATTTAAAAAAATAAATAAATTGAAAACCCATAACATAATTATATACATAGATGTGTTTTTAAATTTAAATTTTGTCAAAATTTCTTTGTATAGCAAATTTTCCATTTATGACAGAATTCCAAAGCAACTTTCTTGCCTGTGATTTCATTACAGAAATTTTTAACATGCATGAAACTAAAACTTATTGATAAAAAGCTGAAATAATCCTTTTAATAAAATAAATACTTTTTTTAGAAGTTTAAAAACTTTTTAAACAAATTATTTGAAATAAACATGAGATAAAATTAAAAGAAGTTATTAAAATTCCTATCATACTAAAGTATAACAAATTGAAATACATAAATATATTTTTTGTAATTTCATTTTTTCATAATTTCTTAAACTTAACCTAAAACATATACAGGCAGGTTCTTGAATAAAACTAATTTTCATAAACAAATGCATAACTTTAGAATTTTGCATTTCAACTAAATTTTTAATAAGAAAATAGACTAAATAAAGGATGGCAAAACATTTTCATTGCACATGTTTTACAGAAACGCAATCTTTGTGTTACTTTTATAAAGTTGTAAATTTGTAGCTTAGATGATTTCAATTCTATGCATGGAAAGCTAGAACTTCTGTAAATAAGTAATATAAAAAAAAACTTTTATACTTTTTCTAGCAATTTGACATTCCAAATATTGTTGAACCTGAGGAAGGCCATTAAATATAGCCGAAAACATTAGTTTGATTAAAGAAAATTTCTAGAAAAAGTGTCTAAGATTTTATATTACTTGGATAATTTCTGATAACATAAAGAAAGGATTCTTGTTGAATTAAAATTCTACTATCTGTACATAACCTGTAATTAAAACCATCATTATAAACATTACTACCCAATTTCTGCACTCTTTTAATGCCATTTGAACAAGTACTTTATTCTAAATTAAAAAGAATATGATTAATAATAGCAATTGACATTTTTAACTTAGATTATGAAACCTAAGCTACAAAACCAGAAAGAGTAAACCCTAGCGTTAGTAAACAAGTAAAATGTATGTAGGCTGTTTTTTTTTTCAAGCTCCAATGGTCCATAAAACAAAGACAAGTGTAAATAACAAAATGAATTTATTACCAAAAGTTAGATACAATCATGGTTACTTTTCAACATAATCACCATGAAGATTGAGGTTTGTCATATCTGGGGACAAGCTTTTACATTCCCTTGAATAATATTTAAACATTGTCAATTATACATGTGATATAGTCAAAAATGAACTAAACTTTTGACAAAAGTTTATACAGACTTGCACTGGACATCTTCAGTATAAACTCCTTCTACAAGTATATGAAGTGTGTTCAAAAAAATAACCAAACTTTTTGAATTGGGCAGAAATGGAATGTCATAGCATTGTGAGGTTGGCAACCTACGTTTGAGATAACCTAACAAATAAGCTGCTTTTTTCAGATTGTTGATATCTCGTTTCATTCTCGTATTATTGTTTTTTTGAGTGAAAGTTGCTTCAGTATTTATGGCAATTTTTGCAATTTGCAATTTATGAGAGCAATGATGCAATGTGAAATTTGCGTAAAACTGGGGAAAACTTTTACAGAAACATTTAAACTTTTGAATCAGGCTTATGGAATCAATGCTCTAGGTCAGGGGTCACCAAACTACGGCTTGCGGGCCAGATTCGGCTCACAGGGTCAGTTCATCTGGCCCACTGTCGCACTGTACCACAAATGAGCTAAAATATAATTATTCATATGGAAATATTATATATTGTAGATAAACTTACTACGTAAAAAAAAATTAAAATAAGTGTAAGTAAAAATGCCAAAATTGGTCCAATCTGATTTTAGCATCTGACAGTAATATAATTTTTACATAAATCAGTGAAATAAAAAATTTGGCGAGTTTTTGTGACTTTGGATATTAGAGTGCTTTTTGTGTAAGTACCTGCAATGAAGTTTCTAAGGAAAGCAATTAAAAGCTTGTTGCAGCGATCAATTGTGTATTGGTAATTAAATACGTTAGTTGTCTTTATTTTTTGTATTTGGTGTACTGAATTGAACAAAATGGCTATATGGCCTGCACTCATCATTCTCTGAGTTATCTGGCCACTGTGAAAAAAAGTTTGGTGACCCCCTGCTCTAGGTCATTTGCAGTGTTACAAATGGTTTATCCGATTCAAAAGTGGTTGTCAATTAGTTGAAGATGACCCTCGACCAGAAAGGCCTTTGACCTCAACTAATGATACTCACATTCAGAAAATCAAGGATTTGGTGTGTGCAAATCATTGTCTGACTGTCAGAGAACTTGCAGAAGAAATTGGGATTTTAATAGGGTTGTGCCATGACATTTTAATGGAGAAATTGAACACATTGGATTGCAGCAAAATTTATTCCTCGTTTGATGACCAAACTGCAGAAGGAAAATTGAGTGGCCTGGAACTCCTTCAAAAAGCCAACGATAATGAAACATTCATGAAAAGGATCATAACGGGTGATGAGAGTTGGGTTTATGGCTACAACATTGAGACAAAAGTTCAATCATCACAGTGGGTTTGCAAGGGATTTCCACACCTGAAAAAAGCATGACAATCTTGATCCAATATCAAGGTGATGATTGCTGTTTTCTTTAATTTCAATGGAGTTGTGCACTTTGAATTTTTGCCTCAAGGTCAAATAGTCAACCATCAGTACAGGTAGGTGTTTTGAAATAATTGCGTGAAAAAATTCACAAAAAAAAGCCAGAGTTGTGACAAGACAATTCGTGGTTCCTTCACTATGACAATGTGCCTGCTCACTCAGCCTTGTCAATTTGCCAGTTTTGTGCCAAAAATCAAATGATTGTCCTCATCAGTGTAAACACTACTGGGATAATTGTGTGAATAGGGGAGAGGAGTACTTTGAAGGGGACGAGGACCAATGATCTATAAATTGAAGAATGAAAATTTAAAAAAAAATAATGTTCAGTTATTTTTTGAACAGACCTTGTATACCTATACCCTTTTTCCAACATTCATTTCATCTGTTAAAACAATTCTGGATTTTTTGTGATTTCTTAAAAGGCTTTTGTCACTGCAGTTTTCATTATGCTACTGATTTAAAATAAAATGTGTAATCATTTAATTTACCCCCATTTAGAAAAAAGATAAGTCTGTGGAAGTGTGATCAAGAGGGTCGAGGAAGCATTACACTTTTGATCAGATACTTTTTGATCAGAAATTGTGACAATGTGCCTATGTTTCATGCTAGAAACTTTGCCACAATAAATTAATATGTTGTTAAGAAAAACATGAGAATTTTTCTGTTACTATCTTATTCTCCAATCTTGGCCTGCAGACTTTTATCTGTTCTGTGAAATGAAAGAGAAGTTGAAGGGTTGGAAGTTCTAAATCTGCATAGGTTGAATCTTCAGTGACTAAACTCCTTAGAGACATCACAAAAAATAGCTTCCTGAACTGGTTTGATTGATGATATGTGGTTGGTAGAACGTGTAGCTGTAGGAGTTTATTTTGAGCTTATATGGTATAATAAAACTTATGTCAAAAGGTTGGGTCATTTTTTATAACTATTTCATATAATGCAATATTAGTAGATTTATGCAGTTATTCATATTTAATATGTTTAAATATTACTTAAATAATTACTTTTAAAAGATTTGTCATAATTTAAAAATTTTCCAAAATATAATGAAATTCTGTTAATTCAGAGGGATGCCACCTGGATCTATGCCAGTAATGGGACCTATGGTTCACCCCCATGTACCTCCAGTTAGTGTTGTACCACCTGTTTCACAAGCTATTCCAGCCAGTGTTGCTGCTGCTGCTGCTGCAACAGTATCTCAACCTGCAAAACCTTTGTTTCCAGCAGCAGCTGGTCAGGTAAGATTTTTCAACATGCAAAATATTTTAGAAGTTTACTTATTTTAGAATGTTTTAGAAATTGCTTTTTATTTTATTTATTTCAATGATTAATTTTGTTTTAAATAGGCTGTGACAACCACCTCTTCAACTCCTGTGGGGGCAGACTTTAAACCTTTAAGTTCATCTCCAAATGTAAAACCTACTTTTCCTGCCTACAGTGGAACTAATACTACTGCCAGTTCATCAGGTACTAAAAATGGATTTTTCATAAATTTTAATAAAATTCTTAAAGAAATAATATAAGAAATAAATAAATTTTTTTCTTTTATGTATTTAGACCTTCTGTTTGTTGTTTTAAAATTGCTTTGAATTTAAATTTAAAATGAATAAATCACATAATCCAAGTTATGTGATTTATTCCTATCACAGTGATCTAAAAAAATCAGATTTTGAACTTCTATGCATTTTTTTTGTGTAAGCAGTTTGATTAGGAACTTATCAAAACACTGTATCTCCAAGTTGTATTGAAATTTTAATCAAATTATGTTTCGTCATGATTAAATTAGGAAAATTTGAAAAGATTTGCTTAATTATATCTTGATGTTTCATTTTTAATTTTTATCAGTGTAAAAAATAAAAAAATGAATGAGTATAATTACAATCAGGTGAACCAATGGATTGTATTGTAATAATTTGCAATGAGTTTTTAGTTATGATATAAAATTTAATAATTTCATCACTATCTTTCAGAATCAACTGTTACAACAAGTAGTACTAAGACAGGTCCTTCAACTTCATCTGACACTAAAAAACCAGCCACAATAAATACATCTGGTGCCACAAGTAAAATTATACATCCTGAGGAAGACATATCTTTGGTATATATTCTTTGTATTTATTTTTATAAAATGGAGAGATTTTATTAGTTTTAAGTATATGAAACTGTGATAAGCAATACAGGATACTTCTTACTAGGATAAAACTCTTACTACAAATATTGACTTTTATATATACATACTATTATTTTTTTAATATATTTGCTTATATATATCAATATATACCGTATTTTGCGGACTATAAGACACACCTTAATTTTAAAACAAGTTTTTAAAAAAATAACATTTTTACCATTTTTACTGCATAAATTCAATCCTTTTATACGGATTGAAGCAAATGCTGATCCATCAATCAATGCTTAGTAGCGCTATCGGACATCCGCTGATCATACGATGGTCGCACGATGATCGCTGGCCAGTCTGTGGTCGTGGATTCAGAACCACCGGTCGTCTCATGATCCGAGTTTCTATGGCGACAACATTGCTCATTTGAAAAGAGAAAAAGCGCGGGAATCATACGTCCAGACGCTTCTATCCCGACACCCTGCAACTTATGTTAGTTGCATCGGTGCACTGCTGCTGCCAGTTGAATTCAATGTTGCCAGATAGAGATAGGTTTCCTGCGGAATCAAACATATGGCCATTTTTAAGACACGGGAATTTTAAATCAAACACTGGACATTTTTTATTAATTTCGAGTATAAGATGCATCTGAATTTTGGGGGTAATTTTTTGAAGAAAAAAGTGCATCTTATAGTCTGTAAAATACGGTATATGTTTGTGCTGTTTATATATTGCTTTTTGTAATATTAAAATAACTTATATATTAACTTAAAAAATATTATTATTATTGATTAGAATATGGATCAGATATCTGTATAGTCAAAGAAATTTATCAGATGAGTAGAATATACAATGTCATATTATCAGAAAATTATAGAATCTGTTGTAGTAAAGCTGCTAATCATGTTTATTGTTCATTCATGTTATTAATCTATACTCCTTGGCCATGGGTTCATTCATAAATATATGTGATTAAGTCTATGACTTCATAAATTAACACATTAAGCACCACAATAGAAAGGCATAAAAATCACCCTGTGCCATCCTCTTTTTTATGGACAAAACAGCACAAATTTCAAGGCCATTTAATATAATTTTGTCTGCGTTGTTAAAAATAATTTTATAAATTCAAAAAATTGAACTTTATAAAAAAAAAACTGATATTAATAAAGTAAGATTGTAAATTTAAACTGCATTTATTAATATATTCAGAAGTATTCAAAAGCAGCTAACTCAGAAATTAAAAATATTTGAACAGTTAATGAGAACCTTTTATTAACATGTGTATGATGATTGTATTGTGAATGGTTTGATAAACCATATTTGCCATCATAAATGTTTCTGAAAGCAGTTTGAAGTTCAAACAAATAAACTTTTTTGTGTCAATGGGGCTCAGGTCACTATGGCCCTTTCCTAGTTGCTGTGTAATCTAGGCTGCATTTTCTTATTTAAAAAGTTGTTCTCACACTGACTGTTTTCTAAATATAGTAATTTTAATTATTATAGGAAGAGAGACGAGCTCGTATGCCCAAATACCAAATGATGAATGCAGCAGCTGGAAATGTATCACAACCTCCAACTAGTGCAGTAATGACAGGCCCGGGTAAAACTGTTCCTATGGCACCAGGTCCGGTTCCACCAGGTCCTCCAATGATGAATGGTATGAATATGATGAGACCACATATGGGTATGCCACCAGGTATGTTTTTTGATAAAATGACTTTATAAATATATAATGTAAGTACATGATTTATTTCTCTTAAATTTTAATTTGCAAACAGATATTAAATTTTCTGGAAAAAGCTAAATGCCTGATTTTGACAAATTTTTTCAAATACCTTAAATATGTAAATAAGTAATGTGTATTTTTTAATTATCTGAAAATTCAACTCATGCATTTCACTCCTTGTATGATGAAATAAATGACTACATTTTTTACATTTTGACTACAAGTTACCCTGTATTTACTTTGATAAATTTTTTGAATGCTCTGAGTTTTCTGGTTTATTTTGTTATATTAGAAAATTAAATTCATTAAAATAAGAACTGTTACAACATATCAAACCATTATTTGTTACCATTTTTGAATTATTTTTAATGTACTAAAGATTATTTCATATTAATTTTAAGTTTAGATTAAATCTTTTAATATCACCTGAATCCTGAATTATCTAGGTGGCTTGAATTAAATCTTCTGTTTATTATCTTGTCAGAATGAATCTAAGTTATTAGATTAGCCTTCATATTGTATCAACAATTGAAATAATATTTTAAAATGAAGAATTCAAATGTTAGAAATGAAAAATTACACAAGTTCTATTTAAAAGTATGTGAAATTTATTATTTTATTTTTTGTTTTTTTTTCTTAAATCATGAAACTAAATAACTATTTTTGAAATAGAGCTTTTACTTATTTAAATGCTTTTTGTAAACTTCTTATTGCTATTCTAGTATAAATTTAAAAGAACAAATACCAAATGATATGCTGGATTATCTATCAGAATATATTAAGGCTAATGGCTAATTATATACAAATTAATATGGCCAGAGCCAAGCAGTTAAGCTGCCTTCTCTTGATTAATTTAATTTATTTCTAATTATTAAACTTACTTTAAATTTAGAATATTCTGGAAGAAAAGAATCAACCCTCAGCAGGACAAAACCCAAAACTCCTGCTTACGGTGCAGATGCATTACCTTTTACACTATCTGGCCCTCCATTCAATCTTTATTTTCATAACTATTCTTGCTCTGAGCTGATTCTTTTCTTCCAGAATAATTTTAAATTTAAAGTTAATTTAATTCAAATTATTAAATTTATCAAGATATGGCAGCTTAACCACTCGCCTGTAGCCAAATTGATTTGGATTTAATTAGTTATTAGTCTTAATATAACTTGATAAATAATCCAACTGATCATTTGGCAATATGAATATATTGGGTAATTATTACTGTGTGTGTGTTTGTGTGTATCAAATATTGTTTGGCTATATTTTACATTATCACTTTCAGTTTATATTGTTTCTTAAAGAATGCTTTGTTATCCAGTAACAATTGGCATTATAAACAATCTGTTATTATCTTTTACCAAGATGCTAAATGACTCAATGAGGTATTTCTGTTAAGATAACAAAACCAGAATATGTGAGAGGATACAAAACAAAAATGTTTTAACAGAAATAATTTTTGACATCACTTAACAGTTAATTTAACCAAAATGTTAAATGAAAATTGGTTGACCTGAAAAACATGTTACTAAGTTAGCTGAATTATTTTTGTGGCTGTTTTGGTGTGAGCAGAACTTTAAATCACTTATTCTGATGTTTATATATGAAGTAGAAATTAAGAATGCCTAGTAATATAATTAAGAAAAGAAAACTAGCATACTGTGGACACATATTGAGGAGGAAATTATGAAATCCCTAAACTCACATTTCAAGGCAAACTGATGAAAAAAAAATCAAGGGGAAGAAGACTGGGTTGGATGGATGACCTCAAGGAATGGATGGGACTGGATACGGAAAAAGTTATTCATAACTCACAAAAGAGAACAGTGGTATTTGCTGGCTGCCAACCTCCCTTAGGAGACGGCACAGACAGAAGTAACACTACTTACAATTACTGGTTCTATAAATATATTTCAGTTATTCTGTCTATAAGGGAGGAAAAAAATGCATATTAGAATGGAAAATGGAGACAGAGTACATCATTATACATCTAAGTTGGTATAGATTTCAAACAAATTCAATTAACTGTATTGTAAAAATTTATTTTATTGTTTGTGCCATAATGATGGATTTTAAGAGAATCAAAACAGTGGGAAGAATGAAGTTCTAAATATAAATGGAATGAAATCCAGAATGAACATACAGTATAATCTTTTCAGTAACTAAATTTTGTAATTACCTGATTAGTGTAATAAGTATTGTGAGAAAAGTATTCAATATATTAATATGAAATTAGTATATTGAATACTTTTCTCACAATACTTATTTATGTAGGTAAATTGAAAAATAATCATTTACACTGATTGAATGTATTGTTTAGTCTACCATTTATAAACATTGAATTTAATGACTATAAGAATTTTGCTTGGTTTTATTTAATGTTAAGTTAATATTTACTATTAACTCAACATTATTAGAAAATAAGAATGCTCTTTAAAAAATTTTAAAATTTTGGTTGAAATTTATTAATCAGATTTATTAAAGATATCTGTTAAACTTTAATAACAAATTCTAAAATATTACTTATTATTAGTTACTTTTTTATGAAAGATAAAAATACAAGATAAAATAAGTTTAGTTACCATAAAGTTTTGTTAGAAGTGAATAGTAAGATTTAAAATTATTTATTTTATTTTGCTATATTAGGTAATTTGTTCTGAGAATGGTAGAGTAACGCAAACTTAAATACTATTTCATAATGCTATATTTTTAGAATATTTTTATCAATTTTTTAAATTAAGTATTAATGCGTGTAAAGATATATAAAATATTTTGTAATTCTGTTATTGGGACAAATCAAAGAGTAGGATAAATGTTAATATCAGTAGAAAGGATTACATCAGCACTAATCCAATTTTTACTTTCTTGGGTCTGTTATATATATGACAGAGGGAAAGTATGGCAATTGGTCAAAACATGACCCCTAAAATTTTCATATTTTTGGACTTGGGACCTTGAAATATTGAGAAATGCAAAAAAATTAAGGATTTTTGTGTATGTGGAACAAGATTTTGTTTACCCTCTTTGAAACTTAATGACTCCTGTGCTTTTTGTCAAAAATTTCTGAAATTTTGCATGAAGGTTTGTGTATTAGGGAATTGATGCTATTAAATTTTGGTGGTTAAAGGGAAAATACAGGGGGTCATGTCGTAATTCAAATAGGGTTGGACCTATTGACAATTTTACTTGTTATTAGCATTTACAATTTTTTTATAAAACCCATCCCTATCCTTATAATTAAGCTTTTTATATTTTTAATTATTATAAAATGGCAAAAAGTTTTTTATAATAAAATATCATAACAGATGGTGCCATACATGCAGTTTTAAATATTGCAGGAAAAGTTAAGCAACTTGTTACTGGAGAAAAAATATAAAGAAAAACATAAGAAAAAATATTTTTTGAATATACTGTATTTGTTTAATCATTGTTTATTTTATTTTTATAGGAAAAAGTAATTTTTCAAATGATACATATTCACTGATAAATGTGAAATTTATTCATAATCAAATACAGTATACTGTATTATTCTGATTCTAAGGTAACAAAATTGATTTCAAAATCATGGCATTAAGTTGATTTCAAAATCATGGCATCAAGTTTTTTTTAAGTAACAACAACTTAGCAAAAATATAAATGTGACAAGATAAGTAAAGTTTAGAAGCTGTATTTCCATGCACTTCTGCATATGCACTAACTTTATTTTTAATATTGCATCATAATGTCATTTTGAAGGCATTTTAAATGTTAAAAAGGCACTTATATTAAACACTTATCATCATTAAAATTTGTTTAAACTGATGTGACTGTTGAACAGTATTGATGAAAACTGTTATTGAGACAAAATACATCACTTTGTGTATTTGCAATAATTACTGATTGGTGGTTTGGACTGCAAATGTAAGACACCTCTTTTTTTTGGACAGATAAAAATGGATTTTAAAAAAATTAAGGAAATATGGTATCAATAAGAAATAGATCTAGAATGAATACAACAGCAAGCAGCAAGAAGTAATGGGAATAAACATTTAAATAAGTCATCAAACATAATCAAGAATTAGGGTGTAATAGATATAAGGAAGATGATTACTGAAGAACAAAATATCTTTTAATAGAGGCTGTATTTAGATAATATTAATATTGGAAAAAAGTTTCTATTAATATAAGAGATTCTATTTATCAAGGCAAATATGAAAAAATTTAATTTTAATTCACAAAACTATTTTTAGAATATTTTTCTCATCTTGTGTCATATAAAAGGTACAAAAATAAATTTTAATCTACAGTTTCGCCATCTGTTGATGAAAATTATCATTATCTCATTGAATAACTAAATTTACAGTAACTCGGTATTGGGTTATGTTATTGAAGAAGCTATACGCGTCGTATACAGTATATTCTGTATACAAATTTCTGCAGAATAATTCAGTTTTAACGATCAATATTAATATTTAAAAAAATTCGAAATAATATAATTTTTGAAGTACTGTTTTTATTGACAGGCAACACACGTGATCGACGATATCATTTAAATTGAATTTTTTAATATTTAATAGTCTCTTCTCTCTAGACCGGTTTTATTATAACTTATTTAATGGATCACTTGCTTAATAATACATAACAAACTTTAAACCCAACGTGTTTGTAATTTATGAGTTGTGTACTGCTGTTTTATATTTTTTTCCATAAATTACGTTATCTAGTAACGATGTTATTCACTAACGATTGTTCAGACATTATCACTGTAAAAATAATTCTTTATAGCCGGTCATGTGGTAATTTTCTTTCCCAGATGTAGAGAAAAATAAAATTAATGATGCTGTAACATCATAAAACTATCTAAAAATTTGATTATTGGTTAAATTTTTATATAGTGTAGCTACATTATAACGTTAAATTATCTAAAAAAGGTAGTATTTTAAATCTCGTCAGAATCAGCAAAATACATACAAATCATCAAATTAAATAAAAAATAAACTTGTAACATATTTTATTTTTCCTTAAAGAGCAATCAGACGTTGTTACTGGAAGATACAAAATTTCAAGTCAAATTTATGGAAGAGTGAATGCCTTTTCTGCTTCTTTCATTTGAAATATCTTCAGAATAAAAGAACGTTTTGCTTTCTGTTCAAAAAAAGCTGTCAATATGATGTCCAAAACAACTCATGACTTGATTCCTAATCCATTTCTCTTGGAATTTGCCTCAAGCATCCAATTGTGGATGAACAATACCGAGAGCGTTTTTTGTCATCACTTTCTCTTCTTTCTCAACTTTATGAAAATTTCGCCTTCGGTTAAACACGTTTACGATTTGCGTATTACTAGAAAAATGTCTGTTAAATTTGATACAATTTTTTCTACTTATCTATCAATCAAACACTTAATTGGATTTGTTATGCGTATATTTCCAATTATAATGATGCTCTTAA